GTACAAGGTGCTCACTATGCATGCACAATATGTCCACCAATGCTCCTCTATGAGGCATCTCTCTTTCGACGCCTGGGGATGAGAGTAAAGCAGTGTACAAGGAGACTTGGCGCTGGAAACAAGTTCATTAAGGAAGGTTTTTAATACTACGGCTGTGAAACAGGTTGGTAACCTTGTAGTACTAAGGACAGTAACTCTATAATGTTAGAAATACAGATTTATGAATATGTGGCTAACTTGCATAGCTCAGTGACCAGTTCAATTATTTCCTCAAATTTCTACCTGTAGCTATTTTAAAGTTTGCAGAATGAGAAAATAATGAATGTGTCATCTGTCGATATTTCTAGATGAGCAAGTCTCTTCTTTTTCAGGGTTGATAACTTTGAGCAATTTGCTCAGAAGATCTCTCAAGCACAATTGTACTTGTTTTAGAATGCTTTACATATCTAAAACATGTCACATGTTCTCACTAACAAAAAACACTTACTTATCAGTCACGAACTTTATTGCCAGAAATGACTCACCTTACCACTTCTTTGCTGTCATTTTCAAGGCAGCCCATCTACTACACAAACCCAGGCAGTTGTCTAGTGTGCAAAGGTTCTAGGGGCATAAATAAAGGCATTAAACTGCTGTCCCTCTATTGTAATACCAATATATCCCCTCTTGACAAATGTACAATGAATAACACTAACTGGCTACTGGAGGGGGTGGCAGTTTAGGGGTCCTGAAGGCACTTTATGACAAAACCCAAATTATGAAGCATTGAAACTCTTACAGGGTTATTTACTGAAGTGAGAATTCAAAGTGAAGTTTTAAAGTTTAAGTTCCAAGTAGCCTTTTTTCTGGTTTGGCTACTCTGTTCTTAACTGTAGTTCCGTCCATAATTTTATATGATTGATCATCCACTCACTTCTGCTTTGGACAATAAATAATCATGCAACTTTTTTCTGTCTTGCAATTTTAGTTTTGTTTAAACACTCAGCTATGTGTTTACTTTATGTCCTGTTTAATTGAACTGGTAAGATATTTTAGCCATGTTTCGGTTTCCTCACTTTCATGTCTATTCTTCACTTATACGCCTCATTTTCTTATACCGCTCCAAGGCAAGTCACATTCCATTAAAATAATGTTCTATATTTGGAGTATTTTGGCCTCATTAACACAACCTTTCAATACATTCCTGGTGTTTGTGTTTCTGAGAGTTCTTGATAACCTTCATGTAAACGTTTACACTTTCGAGTTCCAATGTTAGCTTCACCTTAGCCACTTCTGCCACATTTATGAGCCACCTACATGTTAGATTGGTTCAGGAGCTATATTGCCTTGAGTAGACTCTATTTGCATTTATCACACTTTAGTAATATTTAATTTGTGAGCTAAGCTATAATTTTCAGTCTGGACAATACATTTCGTAATTTTTTTTTTGTTTGTCAATCTTTCTTTTATTGAGGCATCAAAAAGTACAAATGTGGAATTTACAGTGACATAACTCTTAGAGTGAACAGTCTCATTTATGGGAAAGTAAAGCAAGTAAGATGAAACAAGAGAAATGTTGTGTTAACTTTAACTCACTAGGTTATCGTGACTAGGAAGGTGGACTACCTTAGGGTCACTAAATGAAATTTCCCGGCCATATGATTACGCATTACATGAGTGGGATAGGCCAGGATTAGGCCTGGTTACTCAGGGCAGATGTTCAAAAACTAGGCAATCGTGCATTGACAGGTGGTGGGGCAAACTGTACCTTTAGTAGCCTGGGCTAGGCCTGTTACTGAAGTGACAGACACGTGGAGCGTTCCTGTGGGCTCAACCAAACCAAAACAGGGTAAACCTGGGTGAAATAATAGACATGCTATATGAAGTGACGTGTTGGATTGATAGAATTTAACATATTCTGTGATCTATTCGAATTGCGACACTGCTGGTAAGTGGGAGCTTACAGACATGTTTAGAGTTTAGAGTACACCCAACCTAGGGGGAAGCCAGGGGGAAGAGGGAGAGAGTTGAGCTGTCACAGTTCTAGGTATGAGAATGGCAGACTTAGCTATAGCTCAGTAGAGCTTTCGGTATGGGATTCTGAGACAGATTAAGGGTAGGTGCATACTGGCAAATGACCATAAGCCTGGGACACAAGAAGGGAAATCAAAACATGCTTTAACTAGAAAAAACAAAAAGCAAAAATAAGAACACCAATATCAATACACCAACCAGCCCTTTGTCTCCATTTCATTAATAACAACCTCTGTTTGGATCTATGTTATACATTTTAAATATGGATCAATATATTTTCGATTTAAAATTGTGTCTATTTATCAATGGGTAGAAAAATTTCTATCGGCCTATAAATCTTTGTGGTATTAATTAACTAGAAATTATTTACGAGTACACGACTATCAAAATAAAAAAATGTTTAATATGTTGCTTAGTAATATTTTAATCTATATTTTAAATGTTAATATTGAAGCCTCATGTTTTACTTAATTTATTTTTGACATATACTAGTTACATGGATTTCTCTATCTACTTTTTGTATCACTGTAACCGTACTGTGTGTTTATGGAACGCTTTTGTCATCCTGGGCAAAGCTAAGAGCAAGTCAGCAAGGAGGAGAGGACAAGTGAGGTGAACACCTCTCTGTCCTCGGACTGCACAATCAAACTGAACACTACACAATTAAAATGAACAGAGGCATGGGAAAAGCATTTACAATAGCGCACAATGAAAAAAAATTTTTGGCTGGACCGCTTCACCTGAAAATGAAAAATATTTTGAGACAGCTGAACTCAACCTTATGGTGGTTTGGCTCAGGCAAATTTAGTTAATGAAAAACGATTCGTGAAAATGAATCAGACCAACCAAAAGTGCATGAAAATGGGCCAAACAGTATACCGCAAAATATATACATAACATTTACACTGAAAAAATAACCAATAGAGGCATAAGAGTTAAGAGAGATAAGACTTTTTCACTGCTGCTCCTTTTTCTGGATCTGAAAATACAATCATCTTTATTTCCCATCAATCATTTTTTTGGAGCCAAGGGAAGAGTTTATAATCAGAAATCAAAGCGAACATGCTCGTCCATTGCTTGTTTAGTTTGGTCAATACTGTACGTAATTCACAACATTTCGGCTTGCTGTGTTGGAATTAAAAAGATCACCTGATCGATCCATATTCTGACGAATTGCATTTTGTAATTAAGCAAATCTCCAGGTCTGATTTACAATTTATTTAAGTGAATTTGAAGTTGACTTCATGTATCAGTTTGTGTAAGTATTCATAAAAAAAATAATCAAGTAAAAGTGCTGTTTTTGAACTGTTAAGAACCAGGAAATATTTGAATTCAAATAACATGCAAAAGGGGAAAAGACGCATCTTAGAAAATAGTGGACTCTTTTCTTTTATACCTTTTATGGTTTTTAAATGTTTGTTTATATTAAAGTTTACTTTTATTAGTTACTTTTTATATTCATTATTTTTTAGCTCCTGGATCCTGTATATCCTTGGTGGGGATTATACCACCCAAGCTGTTTACACTAGAGCAAGTTTTATGCTCTAGCAAATGTAAGTACAATACTATTTATTATTTATTTTAATATTAGTACTTACTTCACCATTGGCTGCTATTTCTTTTTTACACGCATACTGCACCTTGGAAACATCTAAGTCAACCACAACTACATATCCTGAGACGGGGATTGTACCGTCCGAGCGCTTCACAGCTGAGCTCTGTTATAGCTCATATAAATGTGAGTGGACTGTGTATAACTATATTCACCACTTCAAGGTATTACCATACTGTATTGCACTATTATTTGTATTCTTTGTTTTATTCCGAGGTTTTCATTTTCTGGATACACTTGAGAATATATGTATGTATATTTTACATGTATAATCTATTAGGCGCGGCATACACCCTCCTTTTTCTTGTTAACTATTCACAAGGTTTGGGAATCCTTGTTTTGTATACTCCTGCCTGTTCACCATTCACTATAGTGAGCGCCTATTATTCTCTTTCCTGTTTTTTTAGAATATAGTGAAAAGATGGCCACGTGTAAGAACCATAAAATAATATACTATGGGTACTATGTTAATCTATAAGTGGGGCCTTTTAGTCATTAAATAGCAATACTTTATTTAATTTTAATCTCTTTTGTGGTCAGTTTACTTACAAAAAAATTTGTTTTGTTTGTGTTTTTATAAAACACCAAACTGCTAAACAATTTTGCAGTTGCAGATTCCTGTTGGATCATGGGTAATGAACGAAAAATGAAAGCATGTTCACATGATCTATTTCCCATCGTTATCAGGCAGACATGCTGCATAGTTTGTCACTTGGCGTAGAGTACGTGCATTCTCTGCATACCGTATACCTGAAACCATGGAATTTCTACCTGAACTAACACTGCCGGAGGTCAATGAGAGAGAAATAACTGTTGTCAGTCACTTGCATTTCTAGATAAACTGGTCTCCTCAATGGCAATGACAAACATGAGGACAATGAGCAAATTTTTTCTTTTAAAAAAAATCCAGTGTCTTCAATAACAAACTATATGTGCTCGTCTGCAGATTCGACAGCCATCTACCCACAAACACACCTACAGTATATTAGCTATGCACTTGATTGTTTTAGCAGCTCCATGGCTTGATGCAAAAATGGTACTGAACTGTTCCGTATTCGGGACCATTCTTTCCAAATTACAGCACACAATAAATGTAAATGCTACTTGTTCTTCTACCTTTCAAACTTTGCAAGAATTATGTGCTACGTTTAAAGAGACAGCAATGATACAATGTGAGTTCCACTTGCAAAAATATTAGATTTGTCAATTGGTTCTCAGCTCTCAGTTGTCTGCAGTTTATTCACCAAAAAAAGAGGCACGGATTTGCTATGGTATGTGAAATTTGGCACGTCTGATTTTAATTCACTGTTTAGTAAATTTACAAAACTCACTATTTACTGTGTAGACTTGTATGTCTTTCATGTTCATGGACCTTCTTGCTTCTATAGTTTAGCAGGTAATAAAAATGGTTCTGAGCTCCTACTTTCTTTATTATGGGAAAATATTTAAAAAATACTCAGCATATATTTTTGTTACTGCAGATTTGTCTCAGCTACTTGTGTGGATGAGTACTGCCCTCCGAGCTCGTATTTCTGCTGTGTTTATTCCTTGTCTTCATACCTGAGAGAAAACATTGATGTATGCTGAATTATAACCACAACAATGGTGTACTAGCAAAACCATTACCAGATTTATTTAACCAATCATTGTTAACAGGAGTAGTCCCAGAAGATTGGAAGTTAGCAAATGTTGTGTCCATTCACAAGAAAGGTAATAGGGAGGAGTTGGGCAACTATAGGCCAGTAAGCCTTACTTCAGTAGTGGGGAAAGTGATGGAAACCACGTTAAAGGATAGGATTGTTGATCATCTAAAATCACATGGATTTCAAGATCAAAGACAACATGGGTTTACTGCAGGGAGATCATGCCAAACTAATCTTATTGATTTTTTTGATTGGGTAACTAAAATAATGGATCAGGGTGGTGCAGTAGACATTGCTTACCTAGATTTCAGTGAGGCTTTTGACACAGTTGCACATAGAAGGCTTATATATAAACTGGAATCTTTAAGTTTGGATTTCAATATTGTTGAATGGGCAAGGCAGTGGCTGAGTGACAGGCAACATAGGGTTGTAGTCAATGGAGTATATTCAAAGCATGGGCTTGTCACCAGTGGGATACCTCAGGGATCTGTCCTTGGACCCATTCTCTTTAATATTTTTATTAGTGATATTGCAGAAGGTCTTGATGGTAAGGTATGTCTTTTTGCTGATAATACTAAGATATGTAACAGGGTTAATGTTCACGGAGGGATAAGCCAAATGGCAAATGATTTAGGTAAACTAGAAAAATGGTTAGAGTTGTGGAAACTGACTGATAATGCATCTTGGACGTAAAAACCCAACGGCAGAGTACAGAATATTTGAACATCTGAGGAAAGGGATTTAGGGGTGATTATTTCTGATGACTAGGAAAACACTAGCAGAATGCTTGGTTGTGTAGGGAGAGGTATTAGCATTAGAAGCAGAAGTAGAAGTGCTCATGCCATTGTACAGAACACTGGTGAGACTTCACTTGGACTATTGTACGCAGTTCTGGAGACTGTATCTCCAGAAGGATATTGATACTTTAGAGAGAGTTCAAAGAAGGGCTACTAAACTGGTTCACGGATTGCCAGAATAAAACTTACAAGGAAAGGTTAAAGGAACTTAACATATATAGCTTGGAGAAAAGACGAGACAAGGGGGGATATGATGGAGACATTTAAATACATAAAGGGAATCAACACAGTAAAGGAGGAGACTATATTTAAAAGAAGAAAAACGAACACAAACGACCAAAACCCCCCTCGCAGGGCAAGTCTAAAATTAGAGGGGCAAAGGTTTAAAAATAATATCAGGAAGTATTACTTTACTGAGAGGGTAGTGGATGCATGGAATAGCCTTCCAGCTGAAGTGTAAACACAGTAAAGGAGTTTAAGCATGCGTGGGATAGGCATTAGGCTCTCCTAACTATAAGATAAGGCTAGGGAATACGTCTTTAGAAAATTGGGCAGACTAGATGGATGGTTCTGAATGGTTCTTATCTGCCATCACATTCTATGTTTCTATGTTTCTCCTGAGTCCTGAGCCTCCCTAAAATTCCCTGAGCCTCCCTGGGCCTCCCTGAGCCATACGAGCCTCCCTGTCTACTAACAAGCAACACATTGAAACACAAATGAGGAAGTACTAGCCATGTACATGTTATGACATTATACAATGTCAAATTGTAGTGAATGTTTGATCAGGGACTATGTACATCTAAGCGCCTATTTCAGTTTTGTTTCCAACCTCTACTTTTCTATTTTGAGATTGCTGATAAATGTGATAGAACCAGTTCTAAAATGTCTATATTTTCAGTGGAATATATACTGCATAACTTCAGTCAAGAAATATTTATCAACACTGTGTTCACTTTTTTTTTCCTTTTGATCTAAAAGTATATATTTGTTAAAGGTCCAATATTATCAAATGTAAATAAAACAAAATAGGCAGCCACTCACAAAATTGGGCAACATTGAATATATTGTTTGAACAGATTACAGAAAAAGGCAACAAATTATATCTAATTGACCCAAGCAACAAACATATACTGGATACCTTTTCATGTTCTCCTTTATTTGTCTTTCATAATCAGAAAATGTATTTCTTTAAAGTTAGAGGCACATATAGAGTAAATAAATCTGACTAAATGTAGACCCTTGATCCTACAGAAGACCTGTAAACAACCATGTACCCTTAAATTGCAACCATACACATTGAATATGTCATATATCACAAATATACATGATGTATTCATTGTAAAATCTCAAGATATCCCAAGCTCAGGTTCAAAACATCAGAGGGGCATATGGCACAAAGCTAAGAAGCTGAAAACCCTCCACGCAGGTCAAATGCAACCTAATCCCAAAATTGTGGTGCAACCAGATCCCCATTATTTCTCTTACGAGGAACAACTCTTTGACACTCCCAATGAAATACCTCGAACAGAGGGCCCAGTCTCTCCTCACCAGGAGAAAGACGGGTCATCTCCAGCCACCAATGGGGGATATCAAGGCCCTAATGCACAACATCCGAGTCTTGTTTATTGAAGACTTGGACATAATCCGTGAAGTAATATCTGTTGTTACTGCCAGAGTACAAGACAATAAGGACAAATTCTCCCCCATACTGCAAAAGCAGACAGGAACCAATGAGCTGGTACTACAACTCCTGGTATCCCACAAAGACATGCAGATCAGAATTGACACATTGGATGATGCATGGAGGTGCAATAACCTGAAAATTGCTGAATCCGTAGATGAGCACGAATTGCCTCACTTTCTCAGATACCTATTTACTACTCTTTTGCCCCAATGCTCGAAAAGGGCATCCAAGTTGTTTCCGGCTCACCAAATCCAACAGGGTACCGTCTCGTGTTCCTCGTGATGTCCTGGTCCGCTTTCCACTGCTTCGTGATAAGCTGGCAATACAAGACACTGTGTAAAGCAGAACACAGCTTCAGTTTGAGTAGATGCAGCTCCTGTTCCTACAAGCTCTGTGCTGATTTAGCCTGGACTGGAGGTGGTCCTTCCAACAAGTCACGAAGACTCTGTGCTCCAGTAAAAGTGGGGTCCCTCTTAGCACCCTGACAGTTCGCAGATATAGCCGCACTCACCAACTTGCCTCTGTGGAAGACTTTCCTTCGGGACATGGGTCTTACCTCACTATCCACCAGCACAGCTGGGCCGAGCCACTCCTGGGATGTGTCTAAAGTCATCTGCTGTCGACACTCAGACACTGAGAAGCGACAGAGTTTGGGCTGTTTGTACTGAGATGGACTAAACCTCTAACAGTTTTGTTTGTTGTTTGTTCTTCTATTAGTTTGTTACTTTTATGCAGTTGACTTTATGTTATTGGTCCCATAATATAATCTAACACAATACCAGGGCATTACACCTGCCAACCCCCCTCCCTGCCAAGCGCTCAGGGGTAATTGAGCAGACCGCATGCTCTATTTACTTGTGTAGATATATGATATAAACTACATGCAATATTCATAGCATTGTTTCTCTGCCCAAACAAAATAAAGGATTTAAAATATATATATATATATATATATATATATATAAAGCTATACTAACCTCGATTCCAGCTCTGCCATTTTCAGAGTGTTGTGAAGATGGCATCTCCAGTCCATCCTTCACTTTTTGATTTGGGGAAGCATCCCACAGCAGGGAAAACCTCATGTGTGACACCGGTGTCAGAATGGGCTGACGTCAGTCACTTCGTTCCTATCATCCCTAGTCAGCTATAGCAGAGTCGGCCAGGGAGTTACCACAGAAACTTCCATGGGGTTCATTGTGGTTGCTATGAATGGGAAAGCAGTAATGATTAGCAATGATAGTAGCAAGAACATTAGATTACCAAATTCAATCCAAAAATGATTTTTTTTCAAGATTACTGTAACTTTTTGTAGTAAAACGCCCAGTATCCCCTGCCAAGGATCGCTTCCTAGCTGGAACCGGGGAAAACCTCAGTGCTTCTGCCCTAGTCTCATGGCTTGACTGGGTACCTCGTGGAGCCTCTCCATCCTGGAACAGGGTAGGGGACTAACTCTATTTCCTCCCAAGGACTGGATGACACACAGTCCTAGGAGCGATAGTCCTTACAAGGACTTTCCTCGCTGAATCCTCCACAAGCTGGAAAAAGATGCTGAGCAGAGAATAGCCCCCCACCCCCCAAAGTAACTAGACGACACATAGTTCTGGGAATACAACTAGTTTATTATCTCCCAGGAACAGAGAGTCAAACATAAAAATACAAAAATAACCTCAAAACATAATAAAAACATACAATAACCCCACATGTCCTACAGCTCTAATCTGAGCGCCCAAGTTGTCCAAATAGCGCTCAGATCCATGCAGTATAGGGGAAACGCCACTGGGGCAAAGTTCTTACCGGCTGCACACATGGTCCTATGCCCAAAACAGTTCCAGAGCAATGTTTGCTTTTGGCCGGTCAACTTTTGGGGTGCTCTGCCTGGCTCTCAGGGAGCGTTTGTTCTTCTTAGTCTCAGGCACCTTCCATCCAAAAAGTGCTCTCCTGGTGGGTCGCAACGTGGTTCCAAACACCAGACCAAGTTTCCCGGGAACAGCGGAAATTAGTTCCATAACTTTTGCTGCTAAGTACCGCTGAGGACTGTTCATGGGTTGGTTCATGCAAACGGCCACCAGGGAGCTGGAGTTCGGTTCAATTTGTGAGAAGGGAAAGTGCCGAACCAGGGGCACCGAGGAAAAGTTGCTCAGATCAGCTGGGCAGGGTAAGTCCCGAACGGGCTCTATGACCTGGACCATAGTTGGTGGGCAGGAGGCCAGCTTCCACACTCCGCCAGGAGTTTGTGGCAAATGTTTATGGAAAAGAGCGTTTGTCACACTTTTGATTCCATGTAGGGTTTGGGAATCATGCACAAGGTAGGTGTATGGCAAATTCAGCTTGGCCGAAGAATTATTTCCGAAAGTAGAACATTTTACAGAACTACTAGATTTTGGGGGGTTTGGGTATACTTTGGCTTGGAGTTTGGGCATTTGATTAAACAAATCTCGAAGTCTAGTGGTATGCTTGCAGAGCCCAGCAATTAGCAATGTTTGCAGATGTTGCAGAAACAGTTAGCAATTCAACAATTTGCATACTTTGTTTCAGTGAAACTATTTAAAATGAGAATAAGATAGGAGAAGTGTGATGGCATTTGTAATCTTAGCAAACATGTCCTTTATTAGGGAGATATCAACAAAGCTTAAAGGACCACTACAGGCACACAGACCACTTCAGCTTAATGAAGTGGTCTGGGTGCCAGGTCCAGCTAGGGTTAACCCTTTTTTGTTAGGGTTAATCCAGCCTCCAGAGGCGCTTGCGTGCTTGTCACTGTGAAAATCACAGCCACCAAAGATGCTTCTGGGTCATTAAGTGACCTTTGGTTGTCTAACTGATGTTGGACATCCTCATGCTATGCATTAGGACACCCAGCATCAGCTTAAGCCCCATAGGAAAGCATTAAATCAATGGCTTCCTATGGGGTTGTCCTAATGTGAATGAAGCACTCACTGCACATGCACATTAGGTCCCCAACGTTGTCCAACTTCAAGTGAAGAGGAGTGATGGTGGAGTCTTAACCAGTGCCGAAGGAAATCGCTTGGGTGCACTGGGCTCTGCTCTTTGCTACATAGTTCCTAAGTACTCTATCAAAAAAAACATATTTTGGTCATCTGCACTTATTTATTGGTCATACATCACCACATATGTCTCAATATTTTAATGTTGAAGGCAATTGTAAAATGTGTTAATCTTACTAATTTAAGACAAGGAATGTAAAATCTCTGTCCACCACCATTTGTTGGGCTGCAGCTTCCATAAATACCTGCAAGAATGTGGGTAGAGATTGGAGATCCCTTGTCTAGACATTCTTTTACTAATGTACACATTTATTTTCACAGTGGTATCAGTCTACCGTTGCTTTCTAATATTAACAGGACATTAGCACGGAGCCCTGTGAATAAAGAGTAGGTTAATATTTTGATCACATTGAACTCTGTACTATATGAAAAACATTTTGGTTCACTGGTTTAACTGGACGTTATGGTTTTATGAGCTTGGATCTAAACTAGTTATAATTGCAATGATGCAAGATTATGTTAAATATTAAAAAACAAGGCAAGAAATACAGATTAACCCATTCACAGGAATTTTCTCATCTTTTAATTTGTATTTTGTATTTGTATTTTTTCCAATCCAAAAAATACCTGGCACCTCGACACACAAGCTTACATCCGATTTGAAACCAAAGGGGAGGTAAACTCAGAATTTTTGTAAAAAGTACCCAGTAACACAATTTCACAGACAACAGACAGAAGGTAAATCCGGCTCACGGTGATGCAGAAAAGGTAGTAGGTACCTGGAATAGCCGTTCAGCAAAAGCACTAAAGGCTAATACACATAAAGGGGTTAAAGATTACTTTAGATGTTCATAAAAACCATCCCAGAGAGGAAACAAGTTACATCTGTCTTAGAATTCCAAATGAGCAGACTACAAATTAATTCAATAAATGGTTACACTTTGTTCTTTTTCTACTCCCCCCTTCTTCTCGTTTGCTTTTTTATCATTTGGTCATATCCCTTTTCATTTTATGACACCTCAGTATGTTTTACTGTGAACTAGGAAAGCTTATGGCCTCCCAGAGTAACCTCTACCTCACGTACCTGTCTCTTGCTCTCTCCTAAAGGGCAGCACTTTACTCTCTCCTCCAGCCCTGCTTCACTCCCACCTTATTTGATTGCTATTTCCTGTCCTAATGTGTCTTATACCCCACCTCCTATAGACTGTAAGCTCGTTTGAGCAGGGTCCTCTTCAACCTATCATTCCTGTAAGTTTTCTTGTAATTGTCCTATTTATAGCTAAATCCCCCCTCATATGATATTGTAAAGCGCTACGGAATCTGTTGGCGCTATATAAATGGCAATAATACAAAATATGTCCATTTAAAAGTACCAAAATGCATTGTGGATTGCATTCGTAACACACTTAGTGGAATGCTCACCTATTTTGAGCTCCCTCTGTGAATAACTACAAAAAATAGGAGCTGGTCCAAGTAGATTCTAGGGAAAACATGCGAAGGGGGCAACCTCAATACCTGAAACAGCAAAAAAGAGAAAAGATGGAATTTCAAGAAATAAAGTATAATAAATGTTATTACTACTAATTTAAAAATTTCCCAATTTAGCCAAACAATAATTAAATGTGTAATCACAGCAAAGTGATAAGAGTTTTCTGTAATCTCGGTTCCCTAACTGACTGGTCAGACTATTGAAGCATCAAACACGTTCAAAAGATGTGTCAATGTGTCAAGAACACACAAAGTCTGCTTTGTAACAGTTTTATCTGTCTGTAACAAAAAGGTAGGCGTTTGGTAAAAAAGAAAAAAAAGAGGAAATAAAAAAAACACAGATAACAGAAATGTACAGAGGTTAACAAATAAATCTTAAAAGCCAAAAATTACCACCCAGGTAGTACAGGGAACATTAAAAAAAATTAGTTAGGAATGTGGGCAGAAAGTATTGTTAAATCTAGTATGTCCGAATGTGCCTTCCGGGGCACTTATCACTAAAGTTATAAATCAATGCTACTGCTGGGTCAAAGGATCCTGAACTATATAGACAGATATAGAAACTGAGAAAATAAAGAATTAAAATCAAAAGAAACAGAAATGATTGCTATGCTAAGTGAGGATCATTGACATCTCAAATCATGCTTCGGTCAGCGATATTTAGTATAAAAGACAAGAAGATTTCGACAAAAGACCACATCATGACTTGAGATATTAGTGATCCTAACATTGTGTGTAACTCGTCTTGAATTATCACAGCATTCAGGAACATTAGACCTGCATGTAGATGAAGAATGTGTGGACATATTGCTTACTTTGGTAATCAGATAGAAGTGAATGTTTGAAATACTTGTTTTCATGAGTTTAACCCTTTCCATGTTAAGGATTTTCTGTAAAGAAAAAAAAAATGCTTTACATTTATTTGAAACATGAGATGCATGGTGAGCACACAGATGTAGGAGCACACATTTGTGTCTGTATTCGGGTGCTTATGTTACCATTAAAAGAATAAAAATAAAAATCAGACAGTTCATCTGTAATATTTAGGAAATTAAAGTTAATCTGTTACTTGGTATATTTTGCAAAGACCCCCAAGGTGACATCTTGGGTTGCAGTGGAGGCAGGGCCTGCGCGTCCATGAAGCAGCACAAGCGGCCGCCTTAGGGTGCACCGGCCCGGGGGCGCTAGATTGGAGTGACTAGCAGCAGGTGGGCGCACGGCGCTTCCTCCTGCCAGTCACTCTTTGGAATGTGGCCGAGCGGAGCAGTGTGCACCACGGTACAGGAACTTCACTTTCCTGTACCTGGCCGGACTGAAATAAGTGCTCACTGAGAGAGCACTTCATGTCAGTCCGGCCAGGTACAGGATACGGAAGCTCCTGTACCGCAGTCTGCTCCACTCAGCCACGCTACAAAGAGAGGTAGGAGACACACCAGGGACCAAGGGGAGTGATAGAGAGGGGCACTAAGGGATGGGGGGTGGTGGTAAGGAACACTATGGGACGGGGGGCGGTGATAAGGAAGAACACTATGGGACAGGGGGAGGGAGGTGGTAAGGAACACTATGGGACAGGAGAGGGGGGGAAGAACACTATGGGACAGGGCGATTGGGAACGAAACACTATGGGACAGGGGAGGGAGGTGGTAAGGAACACTATGGGACTAAGGGAGGGGGGTTGTTAAAGGATCACTATAGGGTCAAGAACACAAACATGTATTCCTGGCCTATAGTGAAAACCCCCCATTTAGGTGTCTTGCCCCCCCTCCCTTAGTCTCCTCAGAATGGGTTAAAATTTTAATTATTTTCAGCTATCCACGGGTCCGCCAGCACTGGTCCCGCCCCCTTGGTAAAATCATCAAAATTGCCATGGGGAAAGCATTGTATTGGTTAAAATCAGCAAGGGGTGGGACCAAATACCATTTTTTGATTCAATGCATCTCTATGAGGAAAATTTAGCATCCCCATGCAGAGTGTGGGGTCACTTAATGGCAGGGCTGCTTACTGTGCAGCCCTGAGCCAGGAATCCCCTCCAGTGGGGAAAAGAACATGATGGGGGAGGAGGGAAGAACACTAATGGATTGGGGAGTGGGGTGAACACTAAAAAAGATGGAGGGGAGAGGAACACTGGGGGGGAGAGAGAGGTACATTAAGGGGGGCACTAAGGTACAGGGAGGGAAGGGAAAAGAAATGGGGCAGGGGGGAATACTAAAAGAGAAGGGAGAGTAGCATTAAGGGAAATGGGGGGCACTTAGAGACAGGTGGGGGGAGGAACACTGATGGACATGGAGGGGAGGAGAGAGGAATACTAAGTGACATGGAGGGGAGAGTGACACACATTGGTGCCTGAGTGGGGAGAAAGACACACAGAGGGACATGAGGGGGAAGAAAGACACACAGATGGGCCTGGAGGTGAGAAAGTTCCAGAGGGGCTGGGGATGAAAGCGACACACAGAAGGGCCTGGAGTGGAAATACAAAGGGGCTGGGGGTGAAAGAGACATTGAAGGTCTGGAGAAGAGGAAAAAGAGACACAGAGGAGCTGGGGGGAGATAGAAGGGCTGGTGGTGAAAGAGAAACACACCAAGAAGTTGGTAAGAGTAAAAGACACAAAAGGGCAGGGAGAGAAGGAGACACACAAAGGGTGGTTGTAAGAGATACACAAAGGAGGTCTAAGACACACAATGTGGAAAAATAGGGGATAGGATACACTAAAGGGGGTAAGACATTTTAAAAAGGAGATAAGAAACAAAAGGCGGGTTAAGAGGCACACAGGTGAAGATGCTTTTGGATGGGGGGTGGGGGCGCCAAAATCATCTTCACCTGTGTACTCCAAAAATCATTGCACTGGCCCTGAGTGAAGGGTAGGTCTACTTACCCAAACCTCTTCCTCACATCTTCTCCTCTTTATCTACTTCTTGCACATCTTCCTCGAGTCCTGGCACTCCATGTGCCTGGAGCTGCGTCGGTGGTGTACTCTCGCATGTGTGAGAGTACAAATCCTGAGTTCCGTGGACAATAACGTGAGACCACAGGAGCCTCCATAGATCAATGCATGAATCCCACGGTTGTCACTTGTGATAACTGCTAGAATTGAACAAAGTCATTAGTGGAGCTACACCTTTTGTCAACTTTTGTCAACCCTAGGCTTTACCATAATACAAAGTAGTTCATACTTTGTCTCATGGTATCTTGGGAAACTCCAGTGCAGTAAGAATCATCAGTGTTTCATCAAAGATTATATCTTGAAATACTGAAAAGGGACAGAGCCGCTTTAAGTGCTTGTGCCCTAAAGAAAAAATGTGTTTGATGATGTTTTTACAATTAAGGGTTTTACTTTACCCCTTTGAAGTTCTGCTGTGCAAAACAATATCACTTTGTTTTAACACTATTTGGGAAGTAAACCATCATCTGACTGCAAACTATATTGTCACTTTTTTAACCCCTTAAGGACACATGATGGAAATATTCCATCATGATTCCCTTTTATTCCAGAAGTTATGTCCTTAAGGGGTTAAAGAAATGTGTAATAAAATATATAATAGTATCTTAATGACATCCAAATTGGCATAGAACAAGGCGACCTAACTGGAGCTATTTTCCTTGATTTTGCCAAGGCCTTTGACACTGTAGACCACGGCATTCATTTGCAAAAAACTTAAAATCTCAGGCATTGGTGATCGTTCGCAAACCTGGTTTCGATCATATGTTTCAGACCTATTGCAATATGTGGCCATTTCTGATAGCGCTTCCCTCCCTCTTCCAGTCACGTGTGGTGTTCCCCAAGGCTCCATACTCGGCCCCCTGCTATTCACATTATTTATAAATGATCTTCCAAATCCTCAACTGCAGACGACACTGTAATCTACGCTAGTAGACCCAATCTACTGCAGTTTGAGGCTGTGCTCCAAAACCAATTCACACAGGTAGAAAAGTGGATAGCGGGTAAACAAACTCTTCCTAAACACTGACAAAACCGTTACAATGACCTTTGGAACTGTACCTAAATTACGTAAACTACAAACTCAAAAACGATGTATCAGAACAAATTCAAATAGCACACTGACAGCAGTCTGTTCTTTTAAATATCTAGGTATGTTGCTAGACCCCAATCTATCCTTTGGCCTTTACATTGAAAAAATCCCTTCAAAACTGTACCCAAAACTAGGTGCCCTGTACAGAAACAAATCCTACCTAAGCCCTGCAGTAAGGAAACAGTGCAACAAATGCTAATGCCGGTCATTGATTATGGGGATGTCGTTTATGCACCTGCATCGCAAACCCATCATAATAAACATAATATGATATATAATTCATTCTGCCACTTTCTACTAGAATGCAATTTCTTTACCCACCATTGTGACATGTTAAAGAGCTAAACTGGCTGTCGCTGGAATCCCGATGCATTCGTTATCTTTCCAGTCTTGTGCATAAGAGCATTTCTGGGAAGCTCCCACCCTACCGGAGTAGAATGCTCTCCCCAGCTGTTCCCACGTCCTATAACCTCCGATCCAATACTGGCACGATATTTAGCATACCGCAATACAAAAATAAAGTGGCTTGATCCTCATTTTCCTACAGAGCACCACAATTATGGAATAACCTCAGGGACACAGTCAAATCTTCATTTAATCTAAAATC